AGTCGCAAAAACCATCAAGCGCTACAATGAAACTGGCACACATGAGGACCGACCCAGGAAAGGAAGACCAAGAGTCACCTCTGCTTCTGAGGATAAGTTCATCCGAGTCACCAGCCTCAGAAATCGCAAGTTAACAGCAGCTCAGATCAGAGACCAGATGAATGCCACACAGAGTTCTAGCAGCAGACCCATCTCTAGAACAACTGTTAAGAGGAGACTGCGCCAATCAGGCCTTCATGGTCAAATAGCTGCTAGGAAACCACTGCTAAGGAGAGGCAACAAGCAGAAGAGATTTGTTTGGGCCAAGAAACACAAGGAATGGACATTAGACCAGTGGAAATCTGTGCTTTGGTCTGATGAGTCCAAATTTGAGATCTTTGGTTCCAACCGCCGTGTCTTTGTGAGACGCAGAAAAGGTGAACGGATGGATTCCACATGCCTGGTTCCCACTGTGAAGCATGGAGGAGGAGGTGTGATGGTGTGGGGGTGTTTTGCTGGTGACACTGTTGGGGATTTATTCAAAATTGAAGGCACACTGAACCAGCATGGCTACCACAGCATCCTGCAGCGACATGCCATCCCATCCGGTTTGCGTTTAGTTGGACGATCATTTATTTTTCAACAGGACAATGACCCCAAACACACCTCCAGGCTGTGTAAGGGCTATTTGACCAAGAAGGAGAGTGATGGAGTGCTGCGGCAGATGACCTGGCCTCCACAGTCACTGGACCTGAACCCAATCGAGATGGTTTAGGGTGAGCTGGACCGCAGAGTGAAGGCAAAGGGGCCAACAAGTGCTAAACACCTCTGGGAACTCCTTCAAGACTGTTGGAAAACCATTTCAGGTGACTACCTCTTGAAGCTCATCAAGAGAATGCCAAGAGTGTGCAAAGCAGTAATCAGAGCAAAGGGTGGCTATTTTGAAGAAACTAGAATATAAAACATGTTTTCAGTTATTTCACCTTTTTTTGTTAAGTACATAACTCCACATGTGTTCATTCATAGTTTTGATGCCTTCAGTGAGAATCTACAATGTAAATAGTCATGAAAATAAAGAAAACGCATTGAATGAGAAGGTGTGTCCAAACTTTTGGCCTGTACTGTACATTCAATATGTTTTAAAAGCATCATGTTTTTTATTGGAAAAAAAAGGTCTATTAAGATCATTTATTGTCACTTTTACTATTAGATGATTTCTGCCTTAAGATTCTTCATCCATAAGAGTGGACAGAAAAAAACAAAAGGTAATAAAGTAAGCTAATCAAAAAAATTGTTAATTACTTACTTTAGAGTAGAAATCCACCATTAGCTACAGTATTTTTGTGTGTTTGGAACATGATTTGGTTCTGACTGCTTTTTTTTTTTTTTTAATTCTTTTTTTTAATTGATTTATTTATTTCAATTTTTTGTGAAACACTGAATATTTCCACCTCCGGCATCTAAAAACTTTCAAATTAACCCAAAAAAGAAGATAAAGTCATTGGATGAACTGCGCACGAGTCTCGCCAGCACTAAGGTGAAAAATAGGATTTGAATTGATTGAAATAGATCAATGGCTGACAAACAAACATGGCCAGCTGCTATAGCTAGCAACATGTGAACCATGGCACACAATGCCTAACACAGAAATTAACAGCCATGATGAACTTTGTTTCAGGAAAATGAGCGTTTGAAAATGTTAAGTCAAACTGCTACAGACCAGCCTTGACATGTTCAGTGCAACAAACCTCATTAACACACCTGGTGCAGACACAGAGAGACCACATGTTAATTACCTCACATGCGCCAGACTCATTCAACAAGACGCCATGACAGGACAAACAGGTCAGTAGCCTATATCTCTCATGTTGTGTGCTGTTGGTTAACCGTAATTTAAGAATCCCAACAAGCTGTTTAACGTCACACTTTATACTACAGCTATAAAAGTAAAACCTGTAGCTAACGAATAAGCTGCCAAATCACAATAAATGCTGAAACACTCACCTGGTGCTGAGCTCCATTCGATAGGCTGCCAACCTGCGCTTCATGCACTAATGCTATTTACCAGCTCAGTTTGTTTTGTCTTGAGTTGAGTGGTGGAAATGCCCGCTGAATATATCCTGTTTTATTGTGAAAAATCCAGCCAACTGGACAGATGTCTGCTGAATCTCTTGCATGGTTCAACAAACAGAGGTCCTCGGGTCACCTAGCCTCCATTACAAGAAGCTAATTAGGCTAATGACCTGTCAATCACATATTAAAAGCGATACCAAAGGTAGAGCAGGCAGTGGCGCCCCCATGGGGGGGGCCCTTTGGTACACTTGCTGGTCCCCTGTGGTGTAAATGGAGGCTGACATCACTGTTTTTAAGAGGCTGCGGTGCATGCATTTTTAAGATAGCGTGATATCTTGTGAAACTAGACAGATGTAAGGCATACATTGGTACCAACCATGCATATGTTAACTATGCATGCCATCAAATTCAAATGGCTCATCCAGATCCAGTTGGTCAAAATTGGGTAAAAATTCAGCCATGACTACTCCAAACATGGTAACTCCTTGCGTTTGTAAGGTCACTCCAGCGGTAACTTCCTGCAACAACTCAAATCTTGCAAGACGTGAGATTTCAGAGCCAGACTTTCACTCTCTGAGTCTGGATCTGGATGAGCCATTTGAATTTGATGACCGCCTTTATTTATTTGAACACGGAGTACACGGACGTACACGGACGAAGAGCTCATTGAAATTAAAAAGCGGACGAGGAGAGAGAGGGAGCAGCAACAGGCAGAGGAACATGTCCGAATCCAGCTAAAGGTAAACACAGACGTTGCTTAAAATCAATGTACTGTTGTCTTTTTTAATAGAAAGAACAACCAGCCTATTTCAAGAATGATGAAACGCCTAACTTGTACGGATGCTTAACACATTTAAATAGGATTGTGGTAAAACTCACAATGTTAACTTTGGTATTAGTCTATGCACATCAGATAATTCCTAAACTCTCCATACTGACATTGAAAGTTTTCAACCAGCCTATACGTAAATAGCATAATAAAATTCCTAAAAATGTAGTTGAGGCTTTTTGTCCCAAGATTTTCAGAGGCCCCAATCTGGCCACCCATATGAAAAATTTCTAGGGGCATCACTTCATATCTGGAGCTTTGCTGTCTGTGATAAAACCATTTAAAACCAATTAAATTGAACTTTACCCAGATGCAAAAAAGGAAGTCAAAAAAAGTATTTTATTATTTCCAGTATCAAAAACCTACAGATTGTCTTAATAGTTAATCATTTTGTTAATAAAATGCCAGAAAATAGTGAAAAATGCCAGGGTGACATATTCAGATGGATATTTTTGTCCAACCAACGGCCGACAAGTCAAAGATTTTCAATTTACTTATCATATATGACAAAAAAGCAACAAGTACTCACATTTGAGAAGCTGGAACCAGCATTTTTTCTTTTGCATTTTTGCGTGAAAAATAATTATTACAATAATTATAATATCTATTTCCTTTACAGTCTATATTCTGACTAATATTTCAGCTCTAATTGAAGTGTCTCATATATTGGAAATTTCAGACATTGTGTCTGTAGATTAATAGGATCTTACGTGATGCTGGTATCTCAGCTGTCAGACGTGCCTCCCCTCACAAAAACAGGGAATTTAGAAACACTTAGAAAGAATGCACTAGATGGGACATATACAGTGACTGAGAGACGTGTATGGCCTAGATACCAATGACAAGCCTGCTATAAATGTCGCATCAGCCTAAATTCACACTCACACCTACACACACAAACACACAACACACCATGTTATCATCCTTCGCTGAACTACTCCAAGCTGCTTTAATTTCAGAAGAGAGCTAATTGCAATTAAGATGCATGGGGTGTTGAGCTGAGAAGTAAAAGGAAGTAATCAGCGTTGATTATAGAGCCTGAGCCTGATCAGAGTAAATCATACACTGAACAGCTCCTCTGTCTGCCTGCCTGAATCTGAATCAGACATGACACCGGAACAGAGCCTGTTTTTAGTGTGATTACGTCCATGGTAGCACTACTGACTCCAGCTCTCTGCCAGATTTGAAAGGATTACGGCACATGTGGCACAGTGAGGCTGACCTAATCGTGTCTTGCCCAGAGATACATATAGAGATGTGTTGTGGGTCAAAAAGTGAATCTACCCAGTACTGCTGCCAGCCTGAAATTAACGGTTTCCTTGCCAGTTGTTTTTATTTCATAATCTGGGTTTGTTTTGAAAACTGCTCATTATAGCTGAAGCTGTGTTGCTGTAGGCCTATATCACGCTTGATTCATGTATGTAAACACAGCAGCTAAATGAAACTAAATAGCTTCAGCAGAGACTGTTTTCTGCAATTAGCTGGCTAAATTTGTCTTTTGGGGATTGCTAAAATCAGGCTGTGAGAGTTCTGAGAAACAGTGAAGTTATTATGCAGCAAAATGTATCTTTGAAGCCAGTGTGTTAAATGATCATTTGCAAGTCTAATACATCTGTTCCTCTATGTAGACTGTTCAGATGGTGTTAAATGATCCAAGCTGAAACGCATAACCCTGTATTGATCCACTGATGCAGAAGCTGTGCACTGAGCTGCAGCAGTCAAAATATTTCACCACATAACATTTAAGAGAACTACAAAAAGAAGTTCTTGCAGCTATTGTGGTTTCCTTTTAGTGCATACAATGCTTCTACCTAAACGTGTAACAGTTACATAAAAATAAACCAGTTTATATCACAACTAATGCGTGAAAATCCTGTTGACTGAGTACATTTTTTCTTTTTCAGATGTTGTGTACACACATCTAGAGGCTGTAACCAAACATTTAATTTGTGCTTTGGTCCAGGGTGGCTCAGCAAAGTTTGGTGAGTGTGAGAGTTACAGATTCATCTTTCTCAACCTCATGTTTACAGCAAGTCTGTGGTCGAGAAATGGTGTCTGATTGTCTAACCAACACTGACACCTAGTGGTGAATGAAGGCAGAGTAATTCAAGAATTTCTGTTAGGCATTTCAAAAGGAGTGTTTATTTAAATTTCATTCAGCTTTAGTGAAGTTTATTCATATTATTAGTTGTCATAAAATAATATAGAGTAAAAGCATAAAATCAGCCAAAAACAAATGTACCCATATCGTGTAAAACATTTAAATATTTACATAAATTATTTGAGATTTTCACAGGCACACGTACATGTACAGTATATACTAATGGATCAACTGTAAAAATTTAGTTGCCAATTAAAAGCGTCTTAAAATATCTAAAAAAGTTCATAAGGAATCATGTTCGTGATGATATGTCAAGTGTTCTTGATGGTTAAGGTTCATGTTACAGCAGAGTTCATTGTGTGCTCTGGTTCTGTGCTTGACTTGAGATGAAGCAGAGGAACTGCAAAGAAAAACATGCAAAGGGAGTTGGGACCTTAGGCATAAACAAAGCTGTCATGCTAATTTCAAGCATGATCGATGCGTAATGGGTTTTAGCACACTGCTGCCTCACTGGCCCGACAGCATCAATTAATGCGAGCACGTGAAGAGTGCATTTTTGAAAGCCTGTGTTCATATATATGCACCTCAAACAATACAGTGATGCTCTCTGTAAATGAGCACAGACAAACTAACAGCAACAGACAGGAATGACAAAAACGGATTAAAAAAAACTTGAAGTAGCAAAGAACCCACACAAAGCTTTGTGGTGGCATCTCAGTCGAAGAGGTCAGGGAAGTTGTCTTGGCAGTAGTCATCAAAGCTGAAGTCGTCAACAGTGAAAGGGACATCCTTCCACTTCTTCACAGTCGTCCTGCCATCAGGGGTCTGCAAGGCCAAATTTTTAATGGCTAGATTGGGCAGCACGGCAGCTTTCTTGTACTTCATCTCAAATCCCCAGTCCTGTGAATTTAAAGAAGAATACAACTGTGTTGGTGAACTGTCTTGAGCGGTCTTTGCCTGAGTTTTACATTAGTATTTGGCAGGGGCCCAATGTACCTTGTTGCAGTTTCTACAACTGACTGTACGCCCAGGCTCCCAGTCCTCGAAAGTCCTTCCTAGCATGACCTGCCCACCAACTTTGTAGTGGTTCCTGATAGCACAGATAAGTCGTGATTAGAACAGTGAAAGCATTTTGTAAAGATTCTGAATATACTTTTGCATGAACTGTAACACCACAAAGAGTTAAACTCACCTAAACTCAGGATTGATGTTGACGTAGTGTGCCTTTTCAAGAAGTTTAATGTCACTGCCAGAGGCCACAGACCTGAAACAGTTTCGACACAAGAGCTGGACACTAGCAGCTGTGTTGCGACTCCTCTTCTCTGTTTTGCGGCTCTCTGCAATTTTTCTGCCAATAACTGCCTCCTCTTGTAGCTCAGATATCTGGAGAAGAAGAAGAATAAAAGGTTGATGGTAGAAACACTTAGCAGTGAGAGTAAAGGATGAAGATGGACAGACAAACGCATCCTCACCTTTGTGCGAAACTTGTGGAGGCTCATATTTTGGACCTTAGCGATGGCTTTTCCAGTCAGCTCTTCCAGATATTCATTGGTGAGCTCCCGTCGCAATTCCCGTCCCCCTGACTGGGCGACTACAGAATACCGACTGTCTTTTGCTCGGGCACGTCCGCTGGCCTGCTGCTGGGCAATCTCATTTGTAAGCAGTCCATAGCGTACCACCAGGTTGCATTCAGGGATATCAAGGCCCTCTTCCGCCACACTGGTGGAGATCAGGAGGTTGAGTTTACCCTCGCGGAAATTGCGGATTGTCTCTGCTTGCTCGTTCTTTAAGGAAAGCATGTAAAGAATAAGTCATACAAATCAGAAACACATCCATAGATAAGTTGAACTGCATTGACTTAAAACTCATAGATCGTACATGAACACACCTGTGTCATGTAAGTGATACCGTTGCCAGCTCCAGTGAGGATGGCTGCCTTAATGCCAGCTTCCTGTAAGGCTTCATTAGTGAGGACCCAGTCATTCAGGCAGTGGATGCTTTTACGGGTTTTACTGAAGAGGATCCCCCTTGATTCCACGCCTGGACCAAACTGTTCTAGCAGAGTGCTCTCAAGTTTGCCCATCTTTGGGTTCTCATAACGAGAATCTCTTGCTAGTGTCTTCAGCTCCACCTGATTCTCTGTGTAAAAAAAAGATTAATTAATGCTTGCATGGAGGAAAATCATAAGCTTAGCATAAATAAAAATCACGTGGCCAAACATATAAAGTAACTAATGTTTCTGGATGTGAACCTTGGAAAAGTGCCTCCAGGAAGTAGTCTGTTCCATCAAGTTTTGTGGTGGGCTTGTTGTAGAAGTCCTCCAAGGAGCGATAAGCATCCATCATCCGCAGGGTTTCATTGATGAGCAGGGCGTCATTGTACTGTCTGAGGTGGAGTGCACATTCTGCCACCAGTCTGTTGTCCTGTCTGATTCCTGATATACGCAAATCATGTATGAGCATCAACCAAAGCATTGCTTACCCTTTACATTTAATTTGCATTTAATTTTCGTCAGATTTGTTTTTCCTTGCCATCACAAGTGAACATAATATGACATTACAGGTTAAAAAAAAACGTGATCTTACCTCGCTGGTTTAGTATCACCACATCTGCTTCATACTCTTGTGTGCCACACTCTCTCAGTCTGAAGTCTGAAGGAAGATCCATGTAGTCATGGATCATCTGCATCATGCGCTTCAGATGATCCCCAAATGGATCCTAAAAGATGATTATATCATCTTTGTTACTGTTTTGATGGCATCAGTTTTTGTTTGTTAAAATATGAGACAATCCAGGTGAAAGTTAGTGCAGGTTATGTTGCTTTTTGAGCCCATTTATCTCAGCGTGTCCAGGTCATTTTGGGTGTGTAGTAATTAGGGGTGCATTACTGTCTACCACAGCATCTGTTTTTATTTAGATTTTTCTTTTTTTTTTTAAAAAAAATCTTAAAATAGCAGTTTTAACGTTTTAAAGGACTAGTGTGTAGGATTTGGGGGGCTCTACTGGCATATATAATTATGTTTTCATTAGTGTATTATCACCTGAAACTAAGAATGGTGTTTTCGTCAGCTTAGAATGAGCCCTTCATATCTGCATAGGGAGCATGACTTATATCTGTGGCCACTTTCAGTTTGGAGCCTACACATCACGCCCCTACAGACCGTGCCCACTAGTACAAGACAAACCCACCAGCGCAACAGTTATTTGAACCCTGCTACAACGGACAGTTGTGAATAAATATGAGGCAAAAACGTAGCAACAATCCATTTTATAAATCATGAAACATGAAGACGCTCTATAATTCAATTGATAATAAAAGATGGTATGGAGTTGAATTATACGTACACATTTGTATTTGTACCTTCCAAAAAGTGAACCCCCTCTCTTTTAATCTACACTTCATGGCTAGCTAAATGCTGACTCAGCATTTTTTCAGGGCTTCCATTTCCTGACCAAGGGGTGAAGGGGGCTGATAGTGGACTGATGTGTTGGTATGGTGAGCAAGTCATGTAGCTGCTCCAGCAGCAGCTATACCTATTTGTAGAGAGTGTGCCCTCTTCCACAGAGCTCACTGTGTTGCGCTGTCATGTTTCTACAGTAGCCCAGAATGGACAAACCAAACACTGGCTTTAGTGAGGGCCTTTTGTGTTTTTACATTGAAGGCCGCTTTAGTTTTTCTGACACGCTTGGAAAGGGAGTTGTGAGGAAAGGGGTATTCAGTTGGTCGCAATGTGCAACCTCATGGCTAATGCTATTAAATCCTACAGCAGCTTACCTGAAGCCTTTTTTCCACGATGTCAAATGTCTTGATGGGTCTGGGTACTTTCTTCTTCAGCTCAGAGACATAGTTTTTAGTTGAAACTATGGCTGAGTCCATGTTGGCACAAATCTGAGATGGTAATAATGAGGAGGAAGAGACTTGTGAGATCTTGAGATCAGACAAACTAGCTCATGTTGGTGACAAATTCAGTAAACCCCAAAGGTAAATAGGTAAACCTGCCCTGACCTGCAGTACATGCTCCACAGCTGTTTCCAGGATCCTTGCGCCCCCTGTCCCCGGTGATGCAGTGAGACCCAGGATCTGTGGCAATGGTCGTTCTCCTTTCAACTTTTTCTCCACATAGCATGCCATCACCTTGTTGTACACTGAGTCCTTGTGGGTGTGGTGACACTCATCGATTATCAGTAGAGTAATATCTGTAAGGAACCAGGAAATGTATCGAGGTTACAGTTTCTATTTGTGACTACATTAGAAAATCTCTATCTCCATTCCAGGTTCCACATCAACTCACCTTGTCATAACAACAGTATAATTATGGATATTTAGGCTTGCTTTTACTGACCTGAGAGCTCGACATGTTTGGACTCCTCCTCATTAGTCAGAGCATTATACAAGATCTGTGCTGTGCAGATGATCACGTCTGAGTCCTGCACTACTTTCCCAAAGAAGTCCTTTTCCTCACTCTCTCCACTGACTGGTGTCAAGGTGTAGTCACGGCCCAGGTAAGGCTTGAACTCTTTGTTGTAATGTTGATCCACAAGGTGAACCTACAGTATAGAAAAACACATAAAAAACACATTATGTCTGATGATACTGGTTGTATTGTTATTATGATATAAATTATCCTGTCCTGTCTTTTGTGTGCATTCTGTGTACCTTGTTTACCAGGACCATCACTTTTGCCTGTGGTGTGGTCTCTAAGTGGTTTTTGGCCACATACACAGCAGCACGGGTCTTTCCACCTCCTGTCGGCAGCCAAATGATTATATTCTCTCTCCGAAGAGCTCTTTCAACCACCTCTTCCTGGTATTCAAACAGCTTAAAATCTGCCATCCTGCACTTTTCTCCTGTTTGACAACACATCACAATTACAAAGAGGAAGAGAGAAAGGCACATTAGATCATACCAGTATATCTCAACTGTAATTATTGACACCATAAAGTCCGGCTAGATCAGGGTAAAGTTCTTGAGAGACAACAAACAAGGACTCCGTGAGACATGCATGCTGAATCATTGTACAGTATCATTTATCATGAAGCTGATAAGAAGTCAGTCTGTAATAACTCACCAGTCAGCTGTGTGAAGTTTTCAGCTTTTCCTTGTCCAATGCCAGCACACAGGACAATGTTGGGGTTTTAAATCCTGTTGGGATCAGCTGTGTGATGCAGAGACAGGAAAATGAAAGTAACCACCCCTTGCACTCAGACAAATGGCCCTACTGAGGGAGGCACCAGAGGGACAACCGATAGTCCTCATTCTGCAGTGACAGGGGAAGCCTCAACTACACTGACATAAAATAGGACTATCACCACCCTGCGTTTGATAAAGCCAGGTCTAAGTCTATATTTATATCTTATGTGTTGACAATGCAAGTGGCTCCCAGCTGAGGTCTTTTTGTAGAGTGATTGAAACGTCCTTTGCATGCACCCTTACTGGGCCCCGCTTGCTTTTCATTACATCAGGAAAACGAAACCTACAGTTGTTGCCTGTGCTAATGCAGGAAATCCCCATTACTGCTTTAACAGCAACTCATTTAACTGGTTTTCTGCCCTCTAGTTATTCAGCAACTTATTAATTTTGGATGCCAGTCAATGTTTTGCAGGACTTAGGTAAACACTGGAACTTCAGGTGGAGCCGCACTGATAATGGTAAATAATAAAGGACCTAACAAGTGTTACAACTTGATAAAAAGCAGAGTCACTGTAAAGTTACAGATATGCAGCATTAACTTTATCAAATTAGCTGACATTTTGGCATTACCAATGTTTCCAAAAATGATAAAGTAATAAGGAAATGACCAAATGCACAAAAATGAATAATATCAATAACCTGAAAACATGTTCAAGTTATATACATAACAATACCCCTATATAAGCAGGAAAAATACATGCTAAGGTTACAATACACTCTGTTCTTAACTACCTGCACACCTGTGTAAAAAGCTGAGCACAAGGAGAATCACAGGAACAATGAAAAATAATAAATTGGGGGGAAAAACACACTGTGCCATATTGGATGAATATCCTCTACTTCTGTATAAAAAGATGGGTGAAGTAACAGAGTAATAAAAAAGAAGAAGATTAATAAGCTACATTCAATACATATAATACATTCTGGGGTTATCCCTGGAAGTGCACAAGGTGAATCACAGGACCTATAGAAACATTCATCAAGTATGCATATACAGTATTAACTTTAATTTGCCTGTTCAAGTGATGCAAACAGCACTCAACATTCACTCTGTGGTTTTAGGTGGCTCTGTGTGTTGCAATGATCAGCTGTTTAAGCAGACAAACAAAAGTAAAACCTCTGTGCACTCTGTCCACAGAACGGCCTTACTGAGGGAGGCTCTGGAGGATCAACAGCTGGTTTCCATCTTGCAGTGACAGAGGAAGCCTGAGCTACACTCAGAATAAGTATGTTTTTCATAAAACCTTTATAATCTAGCCACATGCAATCCTAGATTTATTTTACACTTTAAGTATGTGGCTTTCAGTTGAGGTATTTTTTCATAACTGGAAAGGGAGAGGCCACCACAAACATTGTCAGGTTTTGTGTGCAGCACACCCTCAGTGGGCCCTGCTTGTTGCTTTTTGTTTCATCCGTCAGTAAAACAAAACCTAAAGCCAGCTGCTGCACACTCCCAATACAGGGAAAGGAGAAGTACTTTTTGGCACTAAATAGAACATTTTACAGAGGTGCACCATCATAAGTTCCTGCAGTACTTGGCTATAGATGCACTTTCTGGTCCACTTTTTAAGGTAAAAAAAACATATACACTGAGATTTTAAGGGACAAATTGGTGTAAATTATTTTGAAGTGGCAACCTACTATAGGCAGTTTGTAGTCCTATATAAGTCATAATGCTTTCCTCCTCCAACACAAACATGTAGCATCTAGTCAATGTAAGTCTTAAAATTTGTTAAAATCTGTGTAAATGAGCGCTTAGATAATGCATGCAACTTACAGGTGTGACATATCAAGACGTTGATTAAACAGCATCAGTACTACACAGGTTTGCCTCGGAATGGTCATTCTAATGAACTTAATGTTCATTTCGCTACCATAAGCGGCCACCAATGCCATTTTTGTTAATTTGGCAGTACATCCAACCACAGATCACATGTAGCCACACCAGCTTAGGACCTCCACATCCAGCAGCTCATCTGCATGCTCACCACCCTCACCAGGGTCTTGACCTGAGAGCAGTTTGTCATCATAACAGTCTGGTTGGATGTACTGCCAAATTCAGGGTGACAACATCTTATAGTCGTGAAATAAACATTCAGTTAATGGGCAACAGCTCTGGTGGACATTGCTACAGTCAGCTCTCTCAAAACTTGCACCATTTGTGACATTTTGTTATGTGATTAATCTGCACATTTTAGAGTGGCCTTTTATCATGACCATCCAAAGGCACACCTGTGTAGTAATGATGCTCTTTTTTGCCAGCAGGATTAAGGAGAAACTACTGGCCCGATTTTTCATTCCACTTGGTGAAAGCATGTAGCATGGACCATCGAGGAACCCATTAAATGTTGGACTGGATCTGAATCACGGTGCGAATACACTAGTTATGTTTCACTTCCAATAACATTGCGAGACAGGGCATTCAATCTGAGCAGAATAAATGCTATACATCTTTAAATCTAGTAGATGGTTGTAAAATACAATGACTCCCATCACAATCCACATTCAGGAGTACCAGTAGTAGTTGTGGTGGTAGAAGTAGTTGCTCAAACTTGATACAGAAAGCAGTTCTCATGGAGCGCTCAGGGACAGTGGTTTCATGGGAGAACCAGTGCAATTGCAACACTATTTCTCAAACTACGGTGTGGCTATGAAAGTTAAGTACTATGCTACTAATTACACTCTTGCTAACAAAATGTAAATTGTCTGCAATAAACTCCACGAAAAATATTGAGAGGAAAAGTTCAGACCAGCAATAATATTGACCACAATTTTAAAGTACCTAAATGCAGAGCAAGTTGATGAGGCCTCAGGCAGGCACAACCATATTTTGACATCATTCTAATAGTTTTGGAAATATGCCCAGACATAGGCCTATAGTGGTTACACTTGCAGATCTGCATATCATAGAAGACTGGACTATTGGTGGAGGTACGCGCTTTCCAAGTGCCCCTCTAGTTAAACATGGAATTATTATTACTTTTGTTAACTCTGTGACATCTGTCATTTATTGGATATCGCAGCAGTTATCATGTGAAAAGTTGCCTTGTCTTTTGTCTGAAATCCCCAGAATCTTGATTCAGTTCTGACTGCAGTCAAGCACAAGTGACTCCAGTTCACACTTTTTGTTTATTTAAAAAAAAAAAAAAAAAAAAAAAAATTTATTGTCATGAACAGTATTACAGTTACAGTAAATGGCATTTATACCATAACTAGAGACAGTAGCCATCCTCAAACAGGTGGAAAGTTCACTCAGACTGACCTTTTTAAGAAAATCTGAAATGCAGCATAGGTAGATTGAGGGAGAAATACGCAATAGACAACCCTGAATAATGCAACACTGACATCACTTCAGTAATTCAAAGCTAGTCATGATTCAAGTACAAAATAAACACACGCTCACACGCACATATACACAAGTCAATGGAACATTCAACAAGCAGGCTGAACCAGCAGTGGACAGTTACTTCCCATACAAGAAGTGGATGTGTCTCAGGAAGCACTCTGTTTGACACTGACTGCTGAACAAACATTACAGTGTTTGTAACACTGTAAAAAAACAAACAAAAAAAAAAACCTGCAACAACTGTGGCTTAGAGCTTGATGGTTTTTCTGAATTCAAACTGTAAACTGCCCGCCATGCATTAACACCCACTACAGCTTGTGTATGGTGTGATAAATAAACCAGCTATCTTCGCTTCACAAGTCCAGAATCACTATGAGGACTGCTGGTTAGCTGCCCCCGCCATGTTTCCATATTATCAATATAACTATCCAGTAAACCTGTGACCACCACAAAATAATGTGGCTGTACACTAAATATACTACTTAGCATATGTGTGCGGAAGTGACTGTACTACAAAGTCTAGCAACAGAACAAATCAATGCCAACAACTACAGTATCACCTGCAAGCATGATAAAAGCTACACTACTGTGTGACCTCATCCTACACGGTTTGTAATAAAACCCTGCCAGTTGAAAATGATGTATAAACAGCATGTATCATATTTTCTGTATAAATAAGCATCTGCTATGTTGTTGTCAACATGAAAACAACAGTTTTCTTGAAGGCAACGATTGGGAAAATTATTTATTTAGCACTCAAGTGCTGGAAATATTTGATGCCCAGTCCATCACTAGCAGTGTCTCCAACCACTCAAGAGTAGGGCTGCAAAACGGTTTTTTAATATTGATTAATCTGTGATGTTTTTGATCATTTGTTTATGATAAAGAAAGTTAAATAATGTTGCTACAGCCTAAATGATAAATAGTTTTATCTTTTCTGATCAACAGTCAAAAAATATTCAGATATTCAATACACATTGGAGCTAATACCAGCAAATGGTATTCGGTATTTGCACTTCATTAACTAACAATTGTTTCAATTACTTTTTTCACCAATCGACTAATCAAATTGTTTCAAGACTACTCAAGAGTCAAAGAACTACCCATCTTTCAGCGCCAAGTGTTTTGAGGACTTCACCCCTCAAACAACGTTTATCTTTATACCCATGAAGATGGCTGGGATGTTCAAGTGTCTGTCAGTAACGGAAGGCAACGTGGCTTTAGGTCCCGAGGTCCAGTTTTTTGTGAAAGAACTCTACACTACTCAGCTCAAGTGACAAGTTTTAAGCAAACTGGAATGAACAAATGTCATTTAATGTGACAAAGGTCAATCATACTATAAATAATGGTGGAAAGTGTGGCATTGTTATAACTTGGACCTATAACTTTGGTACACTTAATGAAACAGGTATATGCAGAGTATTGACCCACTGAGTGCTGGAAAAGAGAAGATGACAACTTAAAGGGGAGAGGTTAATGCTATTTTGACACTTTGTAATGCTCAACATGGTCTGATATTTCCAAACAACCTTCTCTTATGTTTCTTCAAGCCCAACAATTCCCTTGTAAAATGTTTCAGTCACGTACATACCCTTGTATTAACTCAGATACGACAATAGCTAGCGATGTTTTCATTGTCATCTTGGTGTGTGAAAGCCACCCCCCGTCTGTTGAGAAATCAGTGATTAGTTCAGAGTTCATTTCTCGATCAGGCCTCCATCTTTTAATTTGAAGTAGAAGAACTTCTCCAAGGTGTTGGCACTCTTGCAGTACTCGCTGTCTGGAGGGTTGTACTCGCGACAGTTGACGATGATTCGCTGCAGGTCGGCAATGAAAAGCTTCTTGGTCACATAGTATCTATTCTTCAGTCTCTCTGTCATCGTCTTCAGGTCTGTGGAGCCAAAAATGGAGAAGAGAACAATGCTCAATGTGACTTAATGATAATCTAAAGAACAGGTTGTGTGACATTAAGTGGTGCTTTTCCTTATTTTCTGTTATACACATAATGTTACAATGTTGGATGTTCATATCAAACATGGCTGAAGTTTCAAATAATGGGGTAAAGGTGTGTAAAAGTAATCACTTTGAGCAAAACCTCAGGTTTCTGACCATTCTCCATACTGCTCCAACTTCTTTTCTACTTTCAAGACAACCTGACACCAGCTCATGATGGATTTTTTAATATGGTAATCTGCTCCAGATACATTATTTCCAGTATATACATTATGCAGCCTACACTGCTACATGTAGCAATATGCTAACCTCCAGGAAACATGATCTTAGTAGCCCAAGTTGTTCATTGCTCCTCAATTTCAGATCATATTCCTGCTGGAACATGTCAATTTGTGAAGACTGGGTCAGAAACTTTTATTGGGGATTTTTCACAGTAGAAAGTGCCATTACACCCTGTTACAGTCATTCCCCTCCTGCAATGATGGTGCAGAGATGCCGAGATACGGAAGACCTGGAAATGCTGACCAATCAGAGCAGACTGGGCGTTTTCAGACTGGTGTTAAAATGGAGCATTTCAGACAGAGGGTGAATACAGGTTTTCAAACAGACAGACAGACAGTATGAGGACAGGAACTAAATGTAATAAGAGATGCTCGCTCACCGATGGGAAAGCGGATGATCTCATAGTAATCTGGAGCCTCTGACTTTTTCACAGGTTCCATGAAGGGCCAGGCATCAGGATGAGTCTGTTGACAAGATAAAGTCCTGGTTAGTCCTTGTTCTTGTTAGTGTGTGTTTCCATCTGGGGTTAACAGGTGACCCTTACCTTTATCTGGGCCAAGAGGTTCTTCAACATGTTGTATAACACGTCAGGATCCTTCACCTCTTTCCTGCAAAACATGTGGAATGACAAATAAATAAAGTATGAGTAAAATATTGATTAAACTTGGACTGGAGAAGGAAAAAAAAGCAGGTGTCTAAATGAGACAGTTTGTAACAGGGGCACATTGGACTTTTATCTATAACCTATTAACTGCAAAGTGTCACTGTGACACAAACATAAAAAAAAAATATCAAAGCCATTATGTGTAGAACGTGTAAATGTCTGACTTACTGGCCGCTCCCCTGTGGTTGTATTAAAATAGACACATCAGCAAGAACACAACAACACTGAGTTGTATAATATATGCTCAAAGCTCACCCTTTGTCCTTGTTACTGGGTTTCCAGCCAGTCTCTCCTGGGAGAAAAAGACATGTAAATTTAGGATAATACTAATTTTTAATACGTTTCCATTGTGCACTGACCTAACACTCACTTATGCCTGGGATGCTCTCCACTGGGATCTGTCGTACGCCCTCTTTGAAGCAGGTGAGTCCTGGGTAAACCTTCCTGATCTGACTCTGTTTCCTCTCAATCAGCTTCTTAATAATCTGTCATGACATGTAAGATCATGCGATTATTGAAAACACACAGATTCACAGCAGAAAACATGTTTTGGCTTTAATGCAAAGATCTCAGCCTCACACACCTCCTTCTGTCTTTTAATGATATGGGAGAGCTCAGTGTAGGGGATTCTCGGGTTCAGCTCACACTCCATGAGGGTCGCTCCCTCATAGTCTTTGATGTAGCCAAGGTATCGACTCTTCGGCACTTTGATGTCTTTGGAAAAACCCTGCGAGGAGAGACCAAATTACTGAAAGGACAAGATGGAGGGAGAGGACAGGGGCAGCGCTAATGCACAAATCATGCCTGCAGTACCTGCTTTTTGAAGTAGCCAATGGCGTACTCGTCAGCATAAGTGAGGAAATAGAGAATGCTGTGTTTGATGTGGTACTCCTTCAGGTGGTTCATCAGGTGGGTACCGTAGCCCTGACATTAAAAAGACCAGAGAAAAGACAATGTCAAAAAGGCATCTCCATACTATTCTTATCTTTCCATATGCAAAAAAATATCTGGAGTAAGTTACTTCTTTCTTTAGAACAGAGCAATCAACACATCTTTTAACAAAAGTCCATATTTTCATCGTTTTTTATAACGTAATAAGTTAATGACAATTTGTCATTGCATGTCCATGTATTGAGCGTGTTGGGTAAACACTGAATGAATAGGGCATATTTTTTGGAGGCCCCCCCGTATGTGTGAATTGCAACCCCCAAGGGCCCGGCCTTGACCCGTCAGAGGGGTGTGGGTCCCGGCCCGGCCAGAGAATCTAAGCTCTACTTTCATTCCACTACTTTGGTGCACTCGTGCTGGACAGTTTGCCCTACAACCCCTGTTCCACATCCACATTTCCTCACACACCAGGCAGAAATCTGCACCGCACTGTGAGGAATACTAGAAA